ATGAGACGAGAAAAAAAAAAGAAGAAAAAGGCGCGAGATATTTTTTCCTTTCTTTCTATCCTACTCTCTTATTATTTATTTATTTATTTTATTTCATTTTTCTCTATCCCTTTTCCATCTCCGTGTTTCTTATTTTCAATAATACATTCGATAAAATAAATAAAAAATAATATTTATTATTTCTATTTCCTTATTATTCATCTTTTAATCAAAGGAAAAGATCGAACGAGATAATATAAATGAACAAATAATTAATTAAACGAGACTAAATAATTATAAGGAAAAAAATGTATAAGAAATAAATAAAATTTTATATTTTTATTTCGTTAATAGATAGAACCAAAATTAATATTGGAGAAATATATACTACTACATATATTTATTCAAAGTTCCGGTATAGTATATAGTACATAGTTTAACGATCGTTTTCGTTTGATTAAACTATCTCTGCTTTATGATCTTGTTTACTTAACGAAGCTGCCACGTTGTCGTCGCGTCGTAATGCGAGAGTACGGATTGACCCTATCGAGAACTTTCCTTTCATGAGAATACTACTCTCCGTTCATCCTGTAATTTCCGTTATCGTTCGTTCGTGCATAGAAGAGGAAAAAAAGAGAGACAGAGAGAGAGAGAGAGAGAGAGAGAGAAAGAAAGAGATAAATTCCAAGTAAAAATTTATGGAGAAATAAAAATGGATATGAAATTACTTTATTTTTGCGTCCAAGTATCGGATCGTATTCTATCAATTAATTCTGACCCTCATTAAAATCTCTTCCAATAATTATTCTTATTATTTTAATAATATACCGAAATCTCCTCACTTACAACTATGAACTCATATCGCAATGTCCATCCAAAAATTGTGCGTATACTCTTGGTGTAAATTTAAATTAAAAAATGTAATTCCACATTTTTGCATTATAACTTCTAAAACACGCATATTATCTGTGAGGCTTATGCTTATTAAAATTGTTTACATTTATTATTAAACCAAGAATACATATTTAATTTTAATATGTATAACACATAACAAAATAGCCTGTGTATGTTCTCTTATTTTTGTAAATTATTATAGGATCTTGTTAAAAACATACAAAAACATTACTGAATTATTCATTAATTATATAAAAAAAAAAAAAAAAATTTCATAACAACTCGCACGTGCGTGAATTATACAATTTTTATTCTTTTGTTTTTGTCGTAGATTAAGATTTAGAATTCTATTACAAATATAGTACGTGTATATAGGTACGAAAAGGAAATTACCGGTTTTATTCCAGCGGTACTCTATCAAGAAGACATTTATGATCGTAAACGTGGCACTGATGCATACATCCGGAAAGTAACGTTGACTACTGCCTGGTTATTACTCGTACAGGAGTATTTTTGAATGACACTCTCTTTCCCTCCCTCTTTCCCCTCTCTCTTTTTTCCTCCCTTCTTTTCTATCGGTACACAACACTCCCGGTTCACTCGCGTACCACGATGTTGCATTGTTAACCTGTTAACCGAGGAACACGAGATAATTAATCACGAAAAGTTCTTTTTGTGCTTAGCTTTCGGAATGCTTTTTTTCTTTCTGTTTTTTTTTTTTTTTTTCATGAAAGAATAAAAAATAATTATAATTGTTTTATTCCCATTACCAACGTGACTCGTGTAAAAAATGAAAGAAACAATGTTTACGTTTACTTATTCCAACTATCTCTATATTTTCATTCGTATAATATTATTTCATATAATTTCACAATGGTTTTAAAAAATTGATATATTAAAAATGTTGTTTCTAGCCAATAACAAAATAACAATTAAAAGTTATACTGGTGAATATGGAAAAACAAAAACTATAACGAGATAGAGTATCGATCAAAAGTTTCGAATTTTAATTCTATCGATATTTTATTTCCATTGGTAGCGAACGAACAAAAATTAAAAAAAAAAAAATAAAAACAATAGAAAAGATTTGGAGCATTGAATAATAAATAATATAAAAATAGGATCAATTCGTCGGTGATTTCGTAGTCGAATTTTTTCATACGTTAAATAAAACTGTCCTTCATATTATTTTTCCAACTCTCCGAAGTTAATAAATTAAGATGAGTTGTGGTATGGAATTCCTTGCATCTAATTAGGAGACGAATTTAATTAGCGAAGGCCTTAATTAAAAGAGCACAACCGAGGCAAATTTTGAAAGTCTACCTGTTAGTCTTTCAACGACGTCCCGTAAAACTATTGTACACGATGCAAATCATTCTAACGACGTTTTCGACAATTTCATTATGCATAGAAGCTAACCACGAATCTATTACATCAACGTTACTTTATACTCATTTATAATTGCCGAAAATGTTCTAAACCAAACAAACTAGATTTCTCTACGTTTACCTTGGAAGATAAACAAAAAAGAAGAGAAATAAAACAAAAAAAGGAAAATCGACTCGAATTAAACATTGACAATTCTGCCTTTTTTTTTTGTTTGGTTTCAAACATCGAACTGCAACGTACTAAAATTCACTTATAAAAAATAAACACAACCACCACACTACCACCACCACCACCACTATTATTACGAATCACAAATAAAAAATTATTATCTAAAAATAAAAATCGCAAGTATCTTGAAAATATTATTTAAAAAAAAATTAAATTTAACTAAAAAAAAAAAAAAAAAGAGAAAGAACAATCAATTAAAATAAAAAAATATAATAAAATCAAATCGATCAACTAGAGCATCGAACGTGCGAATATTTGACGTCGAAGAGTTAGACTGAACTAACGACTAAAGTCTCNATAAACACAACCACCACACTACCACCACCACCACCACTATTATTACGAATCACAAATAAAAAATTATTATCTAAAAATAAAAATCGCAAGTATCTTGAAAATATTATTTAAAAAAAAATTAAATTTAACTAAAAAAAAAAAAAAAAAGAGAAAGAACAATCAATTAAAATAAAAAAATATAATAAAATCAAATCGATCAACTAGAGCATCGAACGTGCGAATATTTGACGTCGAAGAGTTAGACTGAACTAACGACTAAAGTCTCTATGCGAAAAAGAGAGAGAAAGGGAATAGAAGGAACAAGAGAATGAGAAGGAGTAAATAGAGTAGATAGGGGATTGGAAGGAAAGTGGTAGAGAGGGTGTAGAGAGGGTGTAGAGAGGTTGGGTTGGTTGAAGAGGGGGTGTAACTGAGGTGTCATCGTGCCATCAGCCATTGCATCCTTACAGCTGCTTGCTCACTACGACACTTGGACATTGGTTGACTGGTGTTAGTATCTTTTCTATGTTCTGTGTTCTAACTAACACATTCATATACTCGCATATATGCATGTGTATATATATACATATATATATATCAGTGTATATATCAGTGCATGTCTCTCACCGGAAGTAGATGGAACAGAATGTACTCTCCGTCGTCGTTGTCGTCGTTTACGGTGAACCGTCAGAAGCAAGGCTTCTCTTGTAATTACAAACTTGATCGTCCTGACCTGTGATCGTTACATCTTGACAATCCACACTGTCTTGGATAGTCGTCTTCATCCTCGAGATTACGAACCAAGGGGTACAAATGTCTATGTTGATGATGTATCATGCATGTGTATTTTAAACGGCTTCCCTAGATATTAAACAGACACCTTCAATTGATCGTTTATTCGATGAGATTTGAACTTGTCATTCGAGAAAAATACATTTTTTAATAATTACATTTATGCTATTAGTTATTTCGGGTTTAATCATTTTATTATTATATAAATAATATATATAAATAAAATTATTATAATGTTGTGCTTGTTGATTTTTATTGGAAAAATTCTAACAGAAGCGAATGTTACTCGTTTTGTTTTTTACTTCAAATACTATTACGTATAATTTCTAATCGATACACTATCGTTTAAGATTTAATATTTCGTAGATGTATATTCATTTTATTTTTTTATAATATAATCTCAATTTGAAAACAAATATGTTTGAATTTTGATTGTAATAATTTTAGCAAAGTAAATCAAATGATCCTTCTCGTGCCAATTGTTTCGTTGTTTCATTCTTAGCGTAAATTATTAAATAATAATTTTTATTTTAGAGTAGGGTAACTGTGATCTGATTTTCTTATTTTTGAATAAATAAAATATCGATAAAAAAAATATTTGACCAAATCTTTCTTTACCTATGAAAATACCAAGATCGTGGAAAGAAGCGTATCTCTTGTTGAACGAGTGAAAACCTTATATCGCGGAGATCTCCTTGAAGATTTACATGCAAACAGATCGAGAATGATAGGTTCGCGTGTTCGACCCTATATCTGACGGGATGAATCAAGCCGCAAGAAGCTATCAATCTTGAGTTGTTTACGTTATATTTCTCGTATGAAAGATTTTTCGAAATATCCACAGAAAAATCGTTGAAAGAAAATATGTTTGTGAATAAGAGTAAGGTTTTCCAGGGTCCACTGTTCTTTTACAAAATTCATGATTTTATCTGAAATGTATGTAAAAAAAAAAAAAAATAATAAAAATAAAAAAAAAAATTCACCATAAAAAGGAAACAGAAAAAAATAAAAGCCAATAAAAATAGGATAAAATAAACTAAGATAGAAAAACAAACAAACAAAAAAAAAGCAAAGATTACTGCCCACGCGTAATAATAATTCATCAAATTAAAATATTTATATTGCGCAGGAAAGTCGATTCGAGCGTATAAATACACACACCCATACACACACGCACAGGAAAAAAAAAAGAAATAAATAGATGAAAAAGATGAAAAAGAAAAATATATAAAAGCGTAATAAATTCATAAAAATGAAATATTCTGATAGCATACAAAGTTCGATTAATAAGTTATAACAGGAGAGATACAGTTCTTCTTTTAAACTATTTAAAGATTAAATGTATGACGGTGTTAAAAATAATATTCATAAAGCGTTGTGAACGTCCAATACGTTTCTACTAATAAATTGCTTTAATAAAATTATATCCTCTCTTTTCACAGACTGGCAGCATTATCTATTATGGCTTCGTATCGACGCAACATTCTACCTTTCATCGCGTTAACTCTCTTAACGCTGCTCCCATACAATCAAGGTGCTTCTCGACCCATAAAAATTGGTAAGCAATTACTTTCTTTTCTCTTCTTACTTTTTTCTTTTGTATTTTTTTCTTTTCTTTTTTTTTTTTTTTTTTTTAATAAGTAACTCTCTGCCTTAACCGATCTTATGCTAAACATTTTTTTTTTTCGTTTTAATTTTATATCCTTTTGAAAATAAACCATTAAAAGACCGCGGTAAAGTAAGATTAACAAAACCATTTCTTGCATCGTCGTGTATCAAAGCTTACATAGACGTAATTGGTAAAACAAAAAAAAAAAAACATTATAAATGAAATAAAAAAAGATTAAGCAATTATGAAAAGAGTTTTACATAAATTTAGAATAAAGAAAAATTTTTAAAAAATATGATGAATCTTTCGTATCAATCAAAAGATATGAAGGATATTAAAAATGATGCTAAATAATCCTATAAACTTACTTACGAATAGAATTTTTTTTTTTATTACTCTAATTATTTTCTTTTATCAATATAGAACATAAACAATTTGATTCACATGATTCTATCTCCTTGAAAAAAAAAAAAGGAAAACCTTAAACAGTATATTTGTATCTCCTATAATAAAAATTTTACGATTAAACTATAACGAAGGTAAACAACACTGAATTAAAAATCTATGATTAATTTAAACAATATATCATAAACTATTAATAACAAATCAAATTTCAAACATAAACAATATTAAAAATTCTATAATCGATATTAAATTATGCGCTAATTCGAGCATATAAAATTACAAAAATTACAAAAAATGAAAAGAAAAAAGAGCAATCAATAGTAAAAAAAAAAAAAAAAAAAAAAAAAAAAAAGACAGAAAGAAATAGGAATAAGAAAAAGAGAAGAAATCTGAAAAAGCTTCTCAAGTTCACTCGAGGCGTCGTCGTCTTGAGTGGGAGTGGTAGAAGGAAGAAACGGGGAGGGGGAAGGGTAAAAGAGAAGACGGGATGAAAGAAGGTTGAACCCTTTTACCCATCTTTCTTTTTCTGTATCCTTTCTTCTCTTCTTCAAACCATATCTATAATACAAGCACATATATCTATATACATATATATACGTATAAACATGTGCACATATGCGTGCATATATATATATATATATATATATATATATATATATATATATATATACGTAAATGTAAGGAGTAGTCTTGCTAGAGTTACAGGATAGAACAGAAACTCCTTCTAGTGCAATCTTTATCGACATATTATGCGGCTGCTTGGCCAAAGTCACGTTCCTCTCTTTTGCTCACGTCAAAGAAATCTGCATTTGTCATTCTTGAATTCGTTGAATTTCTCTCTCTCTCTCTTTCTCTCTCAGACTGTCTTACTCTATCTTCTCTTTCTCTCTGTTATGAAAATAACCAAATATTTAGAGAAGAACGAATGACTTTCATAAGCGAATCTCGCTCTCGGTACATCCTACTTACACACACCGATGCACAAATAAACGTACACGGGATTGAATGTAATACAAGAATATGCTGCTTTTCGTCGACTAAACTCGACAAATTCCACGATATGTATTATATATATAGTTACAGAGAAAAACATATACAGCAGACGGAGGATATATAAAGAAAGATGGAAGAAAATTGTGACGCAATTTTAACGATATAACAGCCAGTATGTATACTTAAAAACGATGTTTACGTAATGAAACAAATATTTCAACGATTTTACAATGTTTAAAAAAAAATATAATATTTATGCGATATTCCTGTTAAAAAAAAAAAAAAAAAACAGAAAAAGAATATTTATAATTTTGTGTTTTCTTTTTACTTGGAAACATTTAGATTTAAAGATTAAGAATGTTAATTATGGTTGAATAAATTATTCGCGCTTGATATTTCCGTAGAGAATAAATAAAAGAACAAATCCGAACGTATGAAAAATAAAAGAGAAAACGATCCAGATAAAGACAAAAAACGTAAGAGAAAGAAAGAAAGAGAGAGAGAGAGAGAAATAGAAAGAAAAAAAAGGGAGATAGAGTAAGAGGGAAAAGACTTTAAACACAACGTGGACTTACATGACGTTAGCCTGGGGTGTCGTGTAAATTATGTATGACCGAAGATAAAAGTACGAAAAGTAACAGTAGAAAGGACTTTAGAAACGGGGATACGCGTAGATTACAAAAAAGCTACGTTAGTTGGGTATAGTTTTCTCTCTTTTGCACCTACAGACGAAAAAAAAGGAAGAAGAAGAAAAAAAAAGAAAAGGAAAGAGAAAAACCTTTTTCCAACCAACTTTCTTCCTCAGAAACGCCTTTCAAGTATTACGTACGTGTATATATTTAAAATAACGTTATCTTTCACGAGATAAACGAACGATTTCACCCGTCTCTCGTCCTACTCCTATTACTTTTTTCCTTTTCTTTTATCTCCTTTTCGTTTCTATTCTTTTCTTTACTTTTCTTTTCTTTTCTTTTCTTTTCTTTTTCTTGTTTATTTCCTTCTTTCGTTCTCGGGGTGTTAATGAAAAATAACTCACGACATCGTAAAAAGACATTAATTAACGATAACTTAATGAAGTTACAAATTAAAGAAACAACAAAAATTTATAGAAATAAATGAGATGAAATATATATATATATGTATCTTTTTTTATCTCGCATTGTAAAATTGAAATAAAAGTAGAGAGACGAACAATTTGTACTATCATCGTTCTTGACGAAGTATTCAAGTCCTGCCAGGGTATACGCGTAACAAAGATTTAAAAAAAAGAAAAAAAGAAAAATAAATAAATAAATGGAGAGAAATAGAAATGCAACGAGCGCAACGAAAAAGCTTTTTTTTTTTATTTCTTTTCCTCTAGAGGTAGGTAGGATAAAAAAAAAAAAGAAGAAAAAAAATATGAAGGAAGGAAGGAAGGAAGGAAGGCTTGTAAATGGAAGAAGAAAACGTTTCAACCCCATAGAATTGTTGAAATCACGGAAATTGCAACGTCGTTGGAAGGATAAGCGTACGTTAGTGTCCATTTCGAAAAGAGTATAGTCGTACTGTGACTCGACCAGGACAATAGATATAACCATTGGCGACGCAGTTGTCGCAATTTTACGAGACGCGCTTTTATAAGCGCTCTCAAAGCACCTCTCTCTCTCTCTCTCTCTCTCTCTCTCTTTTTTACCTTTTTTCTATTTTCCTTTCTCTTTTCTCTTTCTATTTCTCTTTTTCTCGATAACCCTAGCAAAAACGACTGAATCCAGTATCGCGATGGTACACTAACACCGATACAAGAGAACTAAAACTGTCATTGTCACGAGAGTTACCGGCTATAGAGGTTCAGAAAAGATCAGAAACAGTGGGGGTGAACGTTCCCTTTCACCCCCTTCTCACCCCTTCCTCTCGTTTCTACTCCCCCATAGAGAGGAGAACGATCCGATAAAATTGCTAGTCTACGATCGTATCGGTACGGTAAATAAGGATTCTATTCGCGTTGTGGTTCTACGGTTTAAACCCATAAACCATTTTCTACCTCTACTCCGATTGACTTTAGTGCTTAAGTCATTACTTCCTCGGGTAACTACCTAGTCACGGTTTAACGCTGAAAAATATCATTCAGATTACTCGTTTCGTTCGATTACGCGATAAAAAAAGAAAGAAAAGGGAGAGAAGGATACCTCTCACATAAATATAATTCTATTTCGCATCTTGATGATAAAAGTGACCCATTTCTTTTATTTTTTTTTATTTTTTAATTTTTCCTCCGCGTAACAAAACACTTTTATTGGTTAATATTCGCTCGAATGAAATATATTTCTTTAGCATTTTAATATAAATGGAAAATGAATGTTCTTTTTTCGTATTTTTGTATCGCATATTCATTCTTCAAATGATTTGTAATCGGTGTTTTGTTTTTTAACGACATCACAATTGCTAATTTGCCGATTTTGTTCAATCGTTTTCATCATTCTCATCGAATTTTTCTACCGATTTATCTATCAAAACGAGAGGTACATCCTTGTCATCAAAATTTTCAAATTAAAAACGCTCCTATAAGTTTTTTGTTTCTCATACCAATACTGAATCGTATTTATAAACATCACAAATTGATTTACCAATAGTAAAATTGTCATATGTGTACCTATTGAATTTCTTCTTATATTTTGACACACGTTCAATACTCAATAATTTTTAACTGATTAAACAAATATCTTTACATTTTGTTTTGTTGTTGTTGTAAATTATTCAATATGACATATATCACCTTTAAAATTGAATTCGATTAATAAAATCAAAGTTATGTAATCGTAAAAAGCCATGTATCAAAAAAATATAAAAGGAACTTTTTACTCGACCCAAATAATTCGTAAGTATGCTGAACGTGTTAGTAGTTTAGTAATTTTGTTATATTTTTATTTTATGAAAATCAAAAGAGTATTTTAAAAATGGTTGAAGGAATTGTATCAAGTCGTAGTACTTTTTCATTTTTACCTTTATTAAAAGTTTTTCATTCTGTAATTTATGATAGAACCAAAGTTTCTACTTATGCTCACATACGTTCACACATGTATATACATATAACTTTTGAACGATCTGATAGATTAGTTATCTGTTCTTATTATTAAAAAATAAGAACAAAGAAAGAAAGAAATAGATATAAAGCACTACGTTCAATTTAGAAAATAATATTCAACTTTTCTCGGTACCGCAAAAGCTAGCTAGCTATCTTCGTACCAATCATACTACAATATAACCCAAATTCGCACGGTAAATACCTACGCTTTCCCCGGAGCGTTGAAATTTATAATACCTGACAAAAAATACGCTGCTAACACATTCCGTACAAGCATTCTACGAAATACATTCGTTAAAATGCGTACAAACATGCGAGTTATGACATCGAATGTACATACATACATACATGTATATACATACATTCGTGTAAAAACTGTCAAACGATAAGAGATAAAAAAAAAAAAAAGAAATAAAAAACCAACAAATTAATAAATTTGAAATAAAAGTTCAAGAGCGAAAATTGTTTTGATTAAATTTTCTTGTATTAC